AACATTATTTAGATAACTTTTCTTGTAGAAAAATGTAGTATAGCGTATCAATGTAATATATCGGAATCAATGAACTATCTTCATCCGCTACTCCTAGATTAATAAGGCAGTCTCTTTTATTATGTTTTTTTTTATCAACAGAAGACATATATTATGGAGGATCACAAACTTTGCCGAAAATCAACGGAAATTGCCAAATGGTGTCGAAAATTGATATTGAGGAAACGAAAGGTAGCAAAGATCGAGTACGTTGGTACAGATAAGTAATATTTATTACAAAAAGTATATTTTATGTAAGGCTAGGTAAGTCTATTTTCTCAAAAAAAAAATGTTATAGCAATTTACAATCTAACGACCTTAATAGTTATATTTATGGTCCATTGTCATGTTTACTGAATATCCATTGCAATTGTAACTGAACAAAAGTAAAAAAAAAAAAAAAATATTAATCACTGATTTACTCACTTTTTTTATAGACTATTTTAACCCCAACACTTGGACACCCCCAACCCCCAACACTCATTCCGTGGAGTTGTAAGAGACTTGACTCAACCCGACCCAAAAAGCTTTTTTAACTGCTATTTCTGAACCACCTGCCCAGCGTAGCGTAGGCAAATTATGGAAAACGCAACATTTTTTTACTTAAAGTCAATTCATTTCGACCATTTTAGACAAACTTCTTAAATTAAAAAAAAAAAACAGTTTATCGGTCAGTCCTCTTAGTTTAGCTTTTTGCAATATTTTTTTTAATTTACAATTTTTCTGGCGGGATGCAATCGGTACTAACCATGAACACTAGCAATACAAAATGCTTGGCTGTCCTTTTGGGGGTTGTTTGAGATCTAGGATCCTCCAGTAACCCTACTCACACAACGAAATACAACGGATACGTTATTACAAGATACCACATGGTATCATTTAGGTCATGGGGGTCCATTGGCATGGCTCTTCCACATTCAAAAAGAGGTTCATATGTAAAAAAATCCGATTGTACATTAGTAGAAGATCGCACAAATTGGTTGTTTTGTAGAACATCTAAGTTCTCCTTTTTACTAAAAATAAATAATCTACACTTTCAGCTTATCAAAGGCCCTTTGCTTTCATAAAAGCGGTGAAGGCGTTCTTAATGGGCCAAATAACTGATTTCGACCTCCTTTTATCAACTATAAGTGTTTAGTGAGTGGTTTTAGTCCAAGTACAGCCATTACGCGTGTTTCAGTAGAAAAATTTATTATGTCGGGTACCAAGTACCTATGTTTCGTCGTTTTTGGGTTAAGTGCGGTCGGAAAACAGTTTCTTTTTGGTATTAGGATTCTTCATTGATGTAGGGAAATAAATTATTGTTGATAGCTCTCTCCGATCGCGAAGTTTTCTTGTTAGATATTGGATTATGTTTAGGCGGTATTAGATTGAATAGGGATTTTGTGATAGATGAGTGCTTTTCTTGAACATTTGATGTTTTTTTCTTTTGCAAATTGATGAAACTTTAAATGGTGACGAAAAAATTTTGGATTTCTGTTGCAAATTTTTAACGGACTGTCAACTGATTTATTTAAATCAATTTCAGGAAAGGTCTGAAAAGAGGCAACCCGTGATCATCGCTGACTGACTTGTTAGAGGAATAGATATAAATTTTTGGGGGTAGAAAATCATCAAATAACTCTTACTTAATACTCTTACTCGATACGCATTGATTGAAGTAAAAGAAAGTGTAGGACCTCACTTTTCCATTTGCTGCTTCGAGCGAAACCAGTGTATATGATTGCATTTGATTCGCAACCCCGACGGGGCATCGGCCCTATTGCCTTCTGCCTTCTTATTCTTCCCTTCCTTATTTGTCAATCAGATTGGCTCTCAATAATTAAGATAGTAGCTGTTGGTTGCTTTAAGGATTGCTTTTATTTTATTTATTTAGGAAACAAACAGTCTCTTACAAATTAATTATAATTATTACAGTAAAATTAACACAAACAGACTTTGAGTTCCATAACGGTAAACTGATGACAAATAGGTGTACCACAAAAATACACCTATGTGTACTTTAACATAGATTATCGATAATTAAAAAGGCACGACGTTTTGTTTTGATAAAATAATGATGTGAACAAAAAAACTTAAACAATTATACTTTCTTTTTCTACCTCTTATCAAAGACCAAAAATTATCGGGCATTTCATTAGATGCATGTGAAAACAGTCTAACTATATTTTCAATGATATCAGGTTTGTTCTATGATAAACTTAATATGTACCGGTACCTTTGCAGCAAAAATAACTTAATAGTTATTTTTGGAACACAACACACGAACCTGTATAGAAAATAAAATGGAAAAATAACCTTTCGATTTTTATAATTCGAAGACAAAATGGTTCAATTTGACTACCTAGTTGTCAAGTAACCAATTAGTTAAATAACGATCTCGACCTACGATATTGACATGTCCGACTTTATTATGACAGGCATAATATCGGCAACGACACGGAACGTCACTAACCGAGTCACGTGCTCACGACAGCCACGGTCAGTGATGACGTCACACAAGTATTGTGATGACGGAAATGCAAATGATATGCATAGTCTTTTAATGATTTTGTTATCATATATGTATAAAGGAACGTTAATTTTATATATACATATAGATTGTGTTGTCTAGAGTATTGTTAAAAGTTATTAGGATAAATTAATAAAATATATATATATAATAATAAATATTAGGATAAAATGACGAATTACAGATGTTAAGCATGAGTATTGAATGAAAGAGATGAAGTCTAATGAACTAGTACGAAGAGTGAGAGAGATAGGCGTATGACGAAGATTTTTGTTTATGATAAAAAAGTTGGTAAGTTACGGATTTTTGAACAGAAAAAAGACGGTAAGTTCTTAAAGACAAGTTTATGTAAAAAAAATATTAAACATCGTTTTCCAAGAAGAATCCGCTTTTGAATTCGGCTCCAAAAACCAATGTCACATAATCCAGAGGATAAAAAGCTTGATTAATGAAGAGGTAGTTTTATATTGATGAGAGATAAGAATTTAAATGTAACGTTAGATATTTTGCAGAAGAGAGTCATTAGACCACCACAGGCGAGGACTAACAGGGCTGTTTTAAGGGATTACGGGTCAAGCGCAGCCATGTGCCGCGGTCTCGGTAGGAAAAAGAACGAAAGAAGACATTTCATGACGAATTATTAACGAACCATTTGTTTTATTTGATCCTCAAAGCGAAACAACTCTTTGTGTGATCCACAAATTGTTGTTCTGGGTCTGGGCGTGTTGTGTAAGAGAAATTGTATGTCAGAGGAGAAAATCCTAGTGTGGGGCAACGTTTTTTTTTATTCCTATAATAATTCTATCTCAGATAAGGTTATACATGTGAAATTGTATATTCGTAAACGCACCCACGACACAGGACAAAATCCAAGTGTGGGGCATCGTTTTTTTTAAAAAGAGAAAAAGAGTTATAAAGCAAGAGTATTATCCAAAGTCATAATTGAACAAATAAATATAATTGACTGAACTGAAGACTTTATTGAACTTTGACGTATTATTGCTTCAACTTTGCACCGGTACGTAGTTGACTGGGTCAGTTTGTAGGTAACTAATACAATAATCACATTACATTAACTACAAATTATGACAGATGGACATGGCACACAAACGTCACATTAAGGTTGTGGTATGCGTGTGACAGCTGTCAACGACACAGATGTATAATAACGATGGAATGACACGCGGTAACAATACAATGATACATTATATGTCTGCTCCGTGTAATGTAGGTCTTTGGTGTACAATGAGTTTATATGGAGGTTTTAATGTTTGAGGTTACGCGTTCTGGTTTTTGGTTTGTTAGTGCAAAAATGATGATGTTTTCGCTTCCATTTTTCGTTGACGTATATTAGAGTTCTATACTAATTTTAATTTCGATTTTGAAGAAAACAACATATTATTTATTCGAAAATAACGGTACTAATACCTAATCTACTTGTTAAGATATAGGCAATTCCTCTTACCTTTAGAAAGTCCAAAAGTTTTTGATTAGTTACCTACATAATAATCAGGAGTGTGGAGTTATGAAAATTGGTTAAATTAACATAATATTTCTTTTAATTTTATATTTAAAAAAAAATTGTTATGTTTTCTGATATTCGTTAGTTTGGATAAAAAATTAAAGTTTATAAAGCATCACAATAACTAGTTTTTTGTTAAAGACTTCGAAGTTCTTATCTTTCAAACTGTATTTTCTACGCTGTACATCATATTTTAAACTAAAGATCGTATCGTAAAATATCTGAGTAATTTTATTAAGTAATTAGGTGAACTGATACCAATATCCTACTTTACAGTAATAAATGGAATTGTACGCACATGGAAACTAAAAATCTAAAGAAAAAAAATATAAGTAAATATTTCAAAAATATGTATCAAGTACAAACCATTCTTATTTTTGCTACTGTCCGTTTTATCTAAAACAAAATATCGGTTAGTTATCTATAAGTTTCTATAGATATTTAATTAAATTTAAATATTGTTGTAATAAAATCGCTAGGATATTGCAAAGATCATGCCAAGAATGCTGTTCATGCTATGGAGTCAGGAATTATTCACGCATGCTAGATTTTTTGAAGCAAATCCTAGGTAACATGCTAGCGTTATGATTTCAGTTTCAATTTTAAATGTAGTATTTATTATTTTCTAACTGAAACGGACTGGTGGAGTGTTGGTACCAAAAAAATTAACTAAAAATAAAAAAAATAATAATATAAATGTTCTTTTATTCGGGCTCCAAAAATACTTTAAATAATATTTAAAAAAGGAAAAGGTCAAGTTCTATAATAAAAAAAGTTTTTTTTTAATAACATCAAGTGAATTGATGTACCAGGGCCGCATGAATCGGAGAAAGTTTAATCGTAAAAAAATGGACGGTAAGTAAAGAAAATTGTGTTCGGGAGTGTTCGAGAGTTTTCGGTGATGTTTGTAGTTATTAAGTGGCTCACCCAAACTTGCGTCGTATGTATTCATGTACTCTGACGTCATGAATTGTGAAACTAAAGCTGTTTTGCCCACGCCGGCGTCGCCAAGTAGCACGACCCTGTATTTTGGTATCTGTAACAAAAGAAAGACTGAATTATTACATTTTGATTTTGAGAGACTGAGAACTGCCATAATAAAAAATGTATGATTACACTTAAAATATAAGCTATTTATAATCTAAGTACGCGTCTTAAACCAGTGCTGTGCATTAGCACAGCATATACTGAGATGGACCCCTTCCTATACTATATATTTTTATTTTTTGTGTAATATTTATTTTTGTACGTTCTCAATTTATGCATGTGTAGCTAAATAAATGGTTTAAATGGTCTTAAAATTAAAAGCGTCACTTTAATACTTTTAAGTTCTCGACATTCCATGCTTTAATTTTGGAATAAGAATACTATAATATTATGATATACATCAATAGAATTAAATTCACGAACAATATAAGGCACTATCATTACTTTCACAGATTAATCAAACAAAGGATTTCATGGAATCCTCGTGCCATATTGTTGTTACAATCAAATCAAAGCCATTCAATTAACTTGATAGAGCAATTTGATAAATAAACTGCGCATTGGATGTATGTATAACAATTATTATAATAGAGCTTACTGGTTGGATATAATCTATGTAGGTATGCAATATGACAATGGTATGGGTACGGTTTTGCAATATCAATTTTTGGTAGATAAATGCATTTTAATACCGTCCGTTTATTATTGAATGTTTTAAAAATTAACAATAAATAAATATAGTAAAAAGTTTTATCTTTATCCTAAAGTTAATGACTTTTGAAATTAATTAAATTATTGACATATTTGTGTATAAATAAATATAAATTATTGAAATATAAAATAAGTGTGGGAGAGCCATGCTTCGCCACGAATGGATCGGCTCGACTGGAGCGATACCACGGCCGCACAGAAAACGAGTGTGAGTGAAGTTACCGGAAGCCCAATCCTTCTCCTTCCCCAATCCCTTAATCTCCATATCCCTAATCCCTAAATGATCGGCAATCGGTGTCCACACTAAAAGCTTGACGGGAGCGATATACATAAATATAGTATGTCCATATAAAATCAAAACAAAATAATATTTACTCTTGTAATATGGATTAACAAAAAAGCAACGCACTCGCAATTCTTAACATCTAAAACTGGACTATCTACTCGTTATATCGATATACAGTGTATTTTATTTACATTTACATTTGCCACTTCAAGCGATAAGCCAAAAACAAACAAACGCTTTGATTTTGTTTTTTAATGAATGATACAATTATTTGCGCATAAATGTCACGCGATACGCAATGCAACGGTCGATTTGAATATCGAATAAAATTAGCATATGTTGTTCTGCTTTTAAAAAAAGAATATTCTATCTTGGCGTCAAATAAATATGTCACGAATGATAAATTGGGTACATTGTTCATTGAAAAATAATCTCTTTCGAATTTTAGAACACAGAATATGTATTTGATCGTTTTTTTTCTAACTTTTAATTGTTTTTGTAAACTTTTTAAGATATAAAAGCTATATATTTTTTTTATTGTGTGATGATTGTTTGAACCTATTTGTAATATTTCACTGCGTCATCGTAGCGGTTGACTGGTAGAGAATGCCTTTCAGCATTGTCCATTGTATTTATTAAATAAAGTGTTAAATACACTAACTATAAAAGACAACATTTATAAATTAACTAATAAGTTTTCTATTTTACACTACAATGTGATTACGTCACGTAACTATCTACCTACATATATATATATCTATATCTATCTATATATATCTATATCTCACACAAAATCTATAGAATAGTTGTATACTCAGATTCACTTCGAGACTTAGATAAAAATATTAAATTTGATTAGATGCACAATCTTGTTTAAGAAATAATTTTACTTTATGGTTTCACAAGAGTTTGACTTCTGCTAGAACAATCTCACTGACACGGCAAAAGACAACGCAACCTTTGGTTCACGCGCTTTTTCTGACATGCTATGGTATCACTCCTGTTAATGTCCATAGGATTTGAGTCGGAACGTAGTATGGTAATAAAAACTAACCTATCCGGGGTTAATAAATAATTTTCAGTAACTAAAAAGCTATCGCTGTCAGACGTCAGTTAAAATGTAAATGAGTAAAGGAGCCCCGAAATATTTAAGATAAAAATCGAGCTTAGAATTTTTATTTAACATAAGGCTTCACAGATTTTTATCAAATCAAACGACCTAAGTCAAAAACAACTTAAAATTTACATAAAAATCTTTGCAAAGTTCAAAACAGGGCGAAAATAGACCTTTTTTTCTTCAATATAAATTTAAATTAGGTGCTCTGACATGGAAATATTTGACAATTAATTTTCTCGCTTAAGTCAACGGATCAAGATTGAAATTTGCTTGACTGTAGCTGAACGCCTCGTATATTAGATTCCCGTCGTGTTCGTATAAGGAATTATGGTGTTATATTGTTTGATGTCGTTATTAAGTTTGATAAAATACATGCTTTATTTGAATATTTGTTTTTATTCAGATAAATGACTTATTTCAATCTCGTTAGGGTACATAATTCTTAATGAATATTCATGATTGCGATACCTTCGTTTTAATTGGTGTAACTTTACATGTAGCCAGGTGCGCATCCGCTAATCTTTTGAAGAAAAAAGGCAATTTCTTCTCTAAATTACACATGATGTAAATTAATTACAGGAGACAAAACATCAGGTCTAATTAGTACAACAAATGTTTCAAAATGCTACAACGAACAGAATAAGTAATGAGTGCTTAAAACCTACATCTACATAAATTGTTATAAGTATACCAATATAAGAAAACCTTGTTATATACAAGTTCTGTGTACTGTGACAGATCATTTTAATACTGGATACCTTTAAACTGTATATTCTTTGCACTTTAACAAGTATAATGCAATTTAAACCTTAAGAACTTTCTTGTATACCAGAACAAAATGTACTGTGCTACGTTTCGTAGTCAGTGCTACGGAATTTGCTACGAAGGTTATGCTACGCGACCCAACGCTACTTAACGTTGCTACAAACAATGGAGAGTCATTGAATAATAAAATTATTTCAACTAATATTGGTAAAGTTTACAATGTTAACGTTGCAATTAATGTGTTATTAATTTCATAAAGCAATCTACGTAACGCAAATATAAAGTGGAATTATTGTAAAAAGAAGAGGTGAAAAAACTTCCCATAAAAAAGTACACACTGAACTAGTAGATAGTGAAACTGTATAATATATACAGATTCTCAATTAATTGCAAGAAAAACCTCTCACCGGATCCATCTCATCTTCATCAGGAGTGTCAAGACTGGCGGAGTCCACAGGCCGATAGCCGGAGCAGCAGGAACCATCGAACGGGGAACGGTCTGACGCTCTGTGGACAAACATACAGTATTCAGACATTTATTTTAAATTATAGATTTTTCTGTGAGAGGAAAATCTCCAAATGACTTGTCCCGTCCATGCTCGGGCCAGAGGAAGAGTCAGACCCCTTCAGACTTAAAACCCTCTGTTCCTTTTTCCTGCTGTAGGCCGAGGCCACGTTGCCTTATTGCGCTTGCCTCCCCACCCCAGTTGAACATTTTTAGCACTGTAGGGCTCCGTTGTGGTCTACATATATAGGCCTTGGGGTGCGTGCCAGAAGACCTCCCCGTGGTGCACCCTGGGTGCGGGCGACAGTCTCCCTAACGGGATGGTGACAGGGTTGGTTTGACTGTCGCCCGCAGCGAACTTCTGGCCGGGCGGAGAACCCGGTCGGGTTCTAGAGGCGACCGGCTCTATGCTGGCATAGAGTCTACGCCTCCGTGGGGGCGTCCCTCCGCACGACTCTCTGGACCTAGCAGAGAGCGGGGCGGAGAAACAAGGGCGGCGCTCGTTGTGCACTCACCCTGCCAATGAGTAGCATCGGGGCACTAGCTGCGCCCGACTGCACCCGTCGATATCGTAATCCGGGAAGAGATCATGGTCATGTTTTATGACTCGGACCGGGACGAGGGTCTTGGCTTAACCGCCTGGACCGCGAGGAAGATAACCTCTATAAAAAATTCCTCCAATACTAAGTTCTGGTGCGCGGCGAGGGTATGTATGGCTGAGGAGTAGGATCAGTCGTGAGCGCACCCCCAGCTAGGGGACCGGTGGACCCCCTAGTTGGGAGACAAATGCACACTTACCCAGGGACAGGGGGCTCTCCCTGGGCGGACCTTTTATTTCCCCCATACTCGTGGGAATCACATGGAGATACCTAAAAACAAAAATAAAAAAAATAAAAATCCACCTAACGGTGAGGAGGACGCAAGCGAGGTCAGCTCGCTTGCGAATATAACCGAGGCGCTAGAGGCATCGTGTGCACGTGCCTCAAGTAGGAAGGAGTCGGACTCTGAGTCCGATTCAACATCGCAGTCTGGCACAAACATAGCGCTGCGCCAGAAGAAAACGCGGGGGACGTTCAAGCGTCCCAGGTTGGCGGATGGGCGAGAGCCCTCCTCTAACGAGCAGGAGGCCCCGGCCCCCAAGATCCCCACGGCTGCGCGCGGTAGGGGCAAAGGGAAAGGCCTCCCGAGGGCGGCAGGCAGCCGAGGCGAGCCGACTGAGCGGCTAGCGGCGGAAGGGAGTGCCCTAGGCAAGGTCGCCCCCTTGGACTCCTCTGAGATGGAGTTGTCTGCTGGTGAGGGCTCCGCAAGCGAAGGCGGCGCTGATAGCCTTCGCCAAGAAGTCAAGGAAGCACTCCGCATGCTGGCTGGGCAAAAAACCCAGGCCGGCAGAAATGGAGTGCTCAAACACGCGGAAGCCGCAATTATGTCGGCGGTATCCCAGCAGGGCTCAGCAGGCCGGCAGATGGCCGCTATGTATAAAGAGCTGGCCGGAATGCGGCGGGAGCTGTCACGCTTGGCGGCTGCCAATTCTGCCCTGGAGGCTGAGCTTCGGGCAGCAAAAGCAGAGCTCGCAGCTGCTCGAGGAGCCCGATCCCAGCCTGCGCAGCCAGCGGAGGCCGACCTTCTTGGCCTTATGCGGCGGGAGATGGCCGCCTTCCAGCAGCGTTTCGACGTGCTGGAGGGTAGGCTCCTGCGACCTCCACTCGCAGCCGGGTCGTATGCTGCCGCAGCGGCTAAGCCCAAGCCGCCAACCAGCCGTGGGGCACAAGCCAGCGCACCGGTGAAGAAGGGGGCGAAAGCGCCGCCAGCCTTGTCACCGACGAGGGCGCCCGTGTCTCCCTCGGCGCTGGCTCCTGCGCCGACGAGCCGCAGACGAAGAGGAGCAGCGGCTGGAGCCCCAGCCGCATCGGCACCTACTCCGCCGTCTGAGTCGCGTGCTGGTAGTGAGTGGCAAGTGGTGGGAGAGGTGAGGAAGGTCGCCAAGGAGAGGAGGAAGCTCCGGAAGAAGGAGCAGCGGCAGCGGCGACAGCAGCGGCGCAAGGAGAAGCGCGCTGCGGCAATGCTCCTCGCCCCAAAATCTTCGGCTGTAGTTATCACACTACAGCCGGACGCGGCGAAAAAGGGGGTGACGTATGGCGAGGTCCTCGCCAAACTGAAGGGGGCGGTAACTCCCGCGGAGTTTGGGGCACCCGACGGGTTCGCAGTGAGGGTCACTGCCACTGGAGCCCGTCTCTTGGAGGTCCCCGGCGCGGCCAGCGGCCCGTCCGCTGACGCCCTTGCCGAGAGGCTCAGAGCGTGCATTGCGGCGGACGAAGCTCGCGTGTCCAGGCCCACCAAATGCTTGGAGCTACGCATCATGGGCCTGGATGACTCCGTGACGGAGAACGAGGTGGCGGCCGCTGTCGCAAGGACGGGGGGGTGCCCTGCTGATCAGGTGAAGGCAGGCACCATCCGCCCGGACAATACGGGGCTGCGGACCGTGGTAGTGAGCTGCCCCGTCACAGCGGCCAAAAAACTGTCGGAGGGCAAAAGGCTCCTGGTGGGCTGGGTTTCGGCGCAGGTGAAGCTGCTGGAACCCCGACCTTTGAGGTGCTTCCGCTGCCACATTGGTCACCATGTGGGTGCCAAATGCACCTCAGAGGTGGACCGCAGCGACCGCTGCTTCCGCTGCGGTCAGCCCGGTCACAGGGCCGGCGCTTGTACCGCCCCACCGCACTGCGTAGTATGTGCGGCGGCTGGCAAGCCGGCCGATCACCGGGCTGGGGGCAAAACCTGCTCCCCCCCCACCAAGCCCAGGAGCAAAGGTAGGCCCTTAGCCACCTCCACCGCTCCCACCGTCGCTCCCGCTGCCGCCGCAGTCGCCAACACCCCTGCGACTGCTGCTGTCGCCGCTGCCGTCAGAGAGGAGGTCGTGATGGATACCCAATAATGGCTCCATTACGCCTCCTCCAGGCGAACATCAACCACTGCGTCGCTGCTCAGGATCTCCTGCTCCAGAGCATGGCGCAGTGGTCGATCAATGTTGCTGTGGTCTCCGAGCCGTACTTCGTTCCAGCCAGGGAACACTGGGTGCCAGACCTGGACGGCTCGGTGACCATCATCTCGTCGGCCGCCGCCGGTACCCCAACCCCCGAAGGGCCTCAGCGAGGCAGGGGTTGCGTCGCGGCTCGGTTCGGAGAGATCGCCGTGGTGGGCGTGTACTTCTCTCCGAACCGAACTCTCGTCGAGTTCCACAACTCCCTCAGGGAGTTAGTCACCGTCGTCGTCGGGTTCCGTCCCCTCCCCGTGTTGGTCCTCGGGGACTTCAATGCCAAGAATTTGGCTTGGGGTTCCCGGCTCACTGATGTCCGGGGAAGGATGGTCGAAGACTGGGCTCTGGAGACAGGCCTAGTCGTGCTGAACCGGGGTTCTGTCCCCACGTGCGTACGGATGCGGGGCGAGTCAGTGGTGGACATTTCGTTTGCTAGCCCCGCTCTGTCATCGCGCGTTGTTGACTGGCGCGTCATGGAGGAGGTGGAGACGTTTTCGGACCACCGGTATATACGGTTCGACGTCTCCGCCGAGTCCGCAGACCCGCCAGTCAGACGGGCCCCGTGTGGCCCGCGTTGGGCGCTTAGGCAACTGGACCGGGAGCTTTTCCTGGAAGCCGCAGTCGTGCAGGCCTGGGTGATACCACCGGTCAGGCCAGCCGACATTAACGAGGAGGCGAGATGGCTCCAGGACGCCATGTCAAGGATGTGCGACGTGGCGATGCCCCGGATCCGACCGTGCCAACGCAAGCGCCAGGTGTATTGGTGGTCGCAGGAATTGGCAGACCTGCGCGGTGAGTGCACCGCAGCGCGACGCCGATACACCAGGCACCGCAGGCTCCGTCTCCGCCCTCTGGACGCTGAAACCAGAGAGGCGGAGCTATACGAGGAGTACAGGGCGGCGAAGGCCACCCTCAGGGTGGAGATCCGGCGGGCCAAAGATCGGGCCCGCGAGGAGATGTTGGAGACTCTGAACAGAGACCCGTGGGGACGCCCCTACCGGATGGTGCGTGATAAGCTCCGCACCTGGGCGCCCCCACTGACTCAGAGTCTCCGGCCGGAGGTCGTGGACGAAGTGGTTGGGGCGCTATTCCCCCGACCACAGATGGGTTACACGCCTCCGGCTATGCCCCCGCCCCCTGCGGTGCCCAATGCGGGCTACATCGACGACGACGACGAATCCGCTCCGGAAGTGACCGAGGTAGATTTGAGAGTGGCGGTGCGCCGGCTGAGCGGCAAGAATACCGCCCCAGGACCTGACGGGCTGCATGCCAAGGTCTGGGTCCTGGCCTCGGAGGCTCTCAGGCCTCGACTACTTGGTCTGTTCAGCGCATGTTTGGAGAGAGGCCAGTTTCCGCTGTCGTGGAAGACGGGTAAACTGGTCCTCGTGAAGAAGCCGGGGCGTCCTGCGGACTCCCCGTCCGCGTACCGGCCCATTGTGCTGCTCGACGAGGTGGGAAAGCTGTTCGAGAGGATAATCTCAGACCGCCTCGTCGGGCACCTGTCTGGAAGGGGGCCGGATTTAGCGGACGGCCAGTTCGGCTTCCGCAGAGGGCGCTCCACGGTGGACGCCATCATGCGCGTGAGGGACCTCACGACGGGGACAGCGTTGGCCGGGAGGCGAGTCGTCGTGGCGGTGTCTCTGGACATCGCCAACGCCTTCAACTCGTTGCCCTGGAGCTGCATTTTGGAGGCACTCCGGTATCACCGGGTGCCTGCCTATCTCCGTCGTGTAGTCGAGGCTTACTTGACGGACAGATGCGTCATCTACCCCGGTCACCGGGGCGTGTGGAATCGGCGAGAGGTGTCGCGCGGTGTCCCACAGGGATCGGTCCTGGGACCTCTCCTGTGGAACATCGGGTACGATTGGGTGCTACGCACCGACCTCCCGAGCGGCGTCAGCATTGTCTGTTATGCTGACGACACGCTGGTGCTGGCGAACGGGAGGTCGCATCAGGCGGCGGCCGACCTGATGTCACAAGCGGTTGCGACAGTCGTTGCAAGGATCCGGCAGTTGGGACTCGAGGTGGCGCTCCACAAGTCCGAGGCCATGTGCTTCTATGGCCGTCGGAGCGCGCCACCTCCAGGTGGGTCCCAAATAACGGCAGGAGGAGTTACCATCGGCGTCGAGTCGGCGATGAAGTACCTGGGTCTCGTCCTCGACAGCCGATGGAACTTCACGGAGCATTTTCGTCGTTTGGCCCCTAAGCTAGAACGGTCTGGGGCCGCGCTCAAGCGGCTCCTTCCCAACCTCGGGGGGCCAAACGCCTCCTGCCGGAGGTTGTATATGGGGATTGTGCGATCCATGGCCCTCTACGGTGCCCCTGTGTGGGCGCCGGCCTTGAAGCGGCGGCCGGCTCGTACGCTGGTCGCGTCCCAGAGGGTCATGGCTATTCGAGTAATCCGCGGGTATCGCACGATCTCCGGGGAGGCGGCGAACCTCCTTGCCGGATCACCGCCGTGGGATCTAGAAGCGAAGGCGCTCGCGCGCGTCTACAGTTTGCGCGCAGACGCGCGTCGCCGGGGCGAAGATCCTCTGCCGCGCCAAATTAGTGCGTGGCGGAATGAGCTCCGGCGAGATCTCATGGCAGAGTGGAAACAACGACTGTCGCAACCGAGGGCCGGGCACGCTACCATAGCAGCGGTAAGACCCCTCTTTGAGGAGTGGCTTGAGAGACGCCACGGCGTCCTCACCTTCCGCCTGACGCAGGTGCTTACCGGGCACGGCAGCTTCGGTAGGTTCCTGTTTCGGATTCAGCGGGAGGAAACGCCCGAGTGTCGTCATTGTGAGGACCACCTAGAGGATACGGTGGAG